TCAGGGGAATAGAATGGGAAGTGAATTTCTCTATTGCTATCGTTAAATAAGAACCCAGCCTCATCGGTTAGAGCGTACAGACAGCCAAATTGAAATTCATCACAGAACTGTCAAATAAGTAGTTTTTGACATATAAATCTCTACGAGTATAATTCTTTTTAATCAATAGTACAAATTTACAGTGTACATTATATGAGTATGTACTTTGAACCAAGCTGCTTGTGATGCATTTTCCTTCATTTTCCTATGCTCATTTAATGGGGGAATAAACGACTATTCAATGCATAACTTGACTATTTATTTACAAAACGAACTTCAGGTGGGAGCTGGAGTGTGTGACTGTGGCTGGGGTGGAGGTGGTGGAAAGTGGAGAATTGTGGTTTCTGGTCTCTGGTTTTAGATTTCAATTTCATTTGTTATGCCTTTCGATTGTGAAACGACACTTGCAACAGTTGCATCGAGTTGATGGCCGCAAGCAGTTTTACAGTTATTAAATTTATTTATTGAAAACGCAGCTTTGGCCCTCCGGTGTTCGATTGAGTGGAGGGTTTCATGTTCAGGGCAGGGCATCGATATGCAAATTGAATGACAAACACTGGCACTCCACCCAAGCACTCCATTTGGCCACTCGCCCAGGCGGTCATCAGATCTCGGGGAGTTATTTTTCCACCAGTGAACTGCAGTGCCCGCCTGCCCGACTGCCCGCCTGCCACGTTGAGCATTGAATTTGATTTTGCAACTGGCTACAGAAGGAGACCTTATACATTGAGATCTACATATGTATGTGTGCAGCTTCCTAGTTGAATTGGCGGAGCGTGGCTTGGCCGGGGCTGTGGTTGGTGCGTCGGTCCATTTGACAAAATTAATTGTGACACGAACAATTACGATGGGACTGAGCAGGCTTGGGTAGGGAAGGGCAGGGTAGGGCAGGGTAGGGCAGGGTAGGGCAGGGTAGGGCAGGGTACTGGGCTGCTGGTCTGCTGGGCTACTGGGAGGACAATAAGGATATACATTTTAATTAAAGCACCTCGAGCAACTAATTACATTGCCAGGACGCTCGCCTTGGTATGCAGCTGCATGAGGAACAAAGCCAGCAAATAAGCGTGCCCCTGTGTGCATGTCTGCGTGTGTGTGTATGCGGTCTTTGTGGTAGCCAGTATGTCCTTGAGCTTCTCTCTCTCTCTCTCTTTCACTCACTATCGCTCCATGAACCTGTGTCTGTGAGAGTACCCAATGGTGGGGGGCCCAATGTGATACATGGGTGCACAAATTGAATGCCCAACTTCTAAGCATTCTCTTGAGCGCGACAAGCTCTCAGCAAGAGGAGACGATTAGTAGGGAGCCAATCGATATTGATACATTATTATATAAAGCAACTACATATAATTAATAACCAAGTGAAGGTGCCAGTGGTCGCCTCTTCCATGGAGCGTATGTCGGGTTACTGGACATTCAAGAAGAAGGTCGCTCAGGATGTAGTGTTTGTGTGTGTCTCCTAAGGCTGCCTATTATCGCCAGTCAGGCCAAACCATTATTTCCTATCATATTATAGAGCTATTGAAATAATGCAATGAAGAAGATTCTCTTGGCATACGTGTATCCCTTGCAAACCCATGGGATAATCTACTATATTCCCCAGTGTCCGATAGCACCCGCCGATAGCAGCACTTTCGTCACCTTTAACAGCGGTCTTATCGCACTCCCCATCGTCACGCCAAAAAGAACCGACTGGGCAAAAACTTTCAGCTACTCTGTCTGTCTGCCTGTCAGTACATCAGTCTGTCTGTGTGACTATTTGCTGGCGTCAGAAATGTATGCGGCTGCGGCACACGCCCATAAATAAAATGCAAGACGCCAGCAAGCCGGCAGTTGGAGGCACAGCGCTGACAGGTTAATGTCAAATCGCGCAGCCTCAAAACCAAAAAGCCAAAAGCAACAAACCCAAAACAAAAGGGTGGCAGGCGCATGATGAGTGCAAAATTACACAGTTCTTATTTCGAATACGGGAATACCCTCTAGCACCAGGAAGAATTCTAATATGCCAATCGCATATGCGGACGAGTCCGTGTATCAATTCTCAGGAGAGTATTTAAAGCTCTATGAGCTTTGGCAATTTAAAGACATTAAATCGGTTTATTTTCTGCTTATAGAAACATCAAAAAAAGGTTTAAGGTAATTCCTCTTTTAGATCGATGCAGATACTTGCGCCTGTTGATTCTAAGCAAAGTTATCAGTTTTTTTTGTTTCTCTGCCTGCTGTTGTATGAATTCACTCGAATACAGCAGATCCTTCGGCTGTGCGAATAATGGGTACGACACGAGCTAACGTCGACAAAGCGACAAAGTTTTTTCGTCAACGCCAGGACGAGCCAGAAACGGAGGACAACTCCGGCTGACTGGCTGACTGGCTGGCTGGCTGGCTGAAAAAAGCAACTCTGAAGCTGTCAACTGACAGTTATGAGAAAAAGTAAAGCTGACGAAGACATCAGCGGGGCAAATTTGTTTAGTCTTAGTCTCTGTCTTCCTCGCCCTTGGTTCCGCCCTGCCTCCACCCTGCTCTTCCTCCGTCTGCCCGCCTGCCATTTTGGTAATGATGGCTTAAAGGACGCCCGCTGCGACAATGTGTTTGCTTGGCTGGAATTGGGGGGCGGTCGGTGCCTTCCCGAGGACGCGCCGTTAACAGAGCATATCGTGGCTCTGCTTTTGGCGTGGATTAGGTGTTGGGGGGCAGGGGATGGTACTGTGGGGGATTCATGGTTGGATTCAGAGGGGGGTGTAGGGTGTCAACCGCTAAAAGGGCGTTAAGTGTTTTATTTACCCTCAAAATATAATTTATATTGTGGCTGGCTATATGTGTGTGTCCTAGAGAAAGACAGAGAGAGAGAAAGAGACATGCTGAGTGACAGAGTGGTAAGGGGATATCGTAAAAGAGAAGAAGGCCAGACCAGCTAGAGTGAGAGAGAGAGAGAGAGAAGAGGATTTGGTGTGAAGTGATTTAAATTTTAAGTACTTTTTGCATTTGTGTTTTCTTGGGTATTTGGCCCATCCCCTCACACCTCCCCTGTACCACTTCTCAGTGTTTCTCTTACTGATTACTTTTCTCATTTTGCAAATTGACTTGATGACATTTTTGGGTAATTTACACAATTCTGATTATCCGTTCATTCCAGGATTGCAGGCAGCAGCAGGCAGCAGCAGGCAGGCAGGCAGGGGGGCAGTCCCCAAGCGGCAATCGGATTGTTATTGATGCCACATCCACTTTACAGTGAATACATATAAGATGAATCAATGAATGTAGTTTTTTATACCCGTTCTCAAAAAGAGTTAAGGGGTATATTAGATTTGTGGTGAGTCGATAAAGACATGTCCGTCCGTCTTGTTGAGAGCCTAGATCTCAGAGAGATCAGAGAAGATGTAGAATCTACATTGTAGATGTATAATCTTCATTTTTCATGTGTAATGTAAAATATTTTAAAACTACATAAATTATAAACTCACAAATTTATATACTGACTGAGTACGGGTATAAAGTAGAGTCGCGTCCAAAGAAGCGACTCAAACGTTCCTTCTCGTTTTTAATGGAATATCAACAGAATATTTATGTTATATTCACAGTATAATCAGTAGCATTAAGTGATCAATTCCACAGATATGGCCGGCATCAGAGATAAATAATAAATTTAAATATATAATAAAGTACCTCATTATCGATACCAGCGTTCAGATCGATTGCCATTAGCCTCATACATAGCTCATATGGGTCTTACAAGTATTTTATACATCTGTCAATCAATGCACTACAAATATATCTACTCGATACCAGCCAGTGACGATGCTTATTGACACATATAATTGCCTTGGTGACATCTCCGGGTCGCACAGTGCACGTAGCACGTAGAAGCAGCAGATTCTGAGGCGGTGTCGGCGGATAATTTCGCCTTAATATAACCAATTATTTCGGAAAACAAAATAAAACAAAAACATACAACGAAAATAACTTATCATGACGCCATCGTCTGTCCCAAAATGTGTCGAGCATTAATTTAATGTCACATTTAACCGTGGCTCCCCCTCCTGCCCACCCCAACCCGCACTGTACGCCATTTTTGGGGCTGTCGCGGCATTTGTGGGTCGCGCTTTGGCAAGTAAATTAAAATATTTTAATGAGTACAATTTATCACGCGCCAGCGGGGCTGGCAGAAAGGCTTAAACCGTTACCCAGTGGCATTGTCCTTCGTCCTTCGTTCTGCATCCTTCATTCTTCATGGCGCGTCCTTGGCTGTGGGTGCCGGCTGCCTCGCTGCCTGTTTGGTGGCTGGGTGGCTGAGTGGGTTGTGGGTGCCCGTTGCCGGTTGCCGAATGCCGGGTGGGGTGGCAACTTGTTGCGACATTTAATTATTGGTGACAGTATAATCAAGTAAACTCGGCAAGAATTTCAATTTCATTTAATGGTTTAACACATTTTGCCAGCTTTCCCCAGGGTTAAGCTTCAAGTGTCATGTAAACGACGTTAAACGGGGGACGGAGGAAACGGTTAAAGCCCACAAAAAAGGGTTTAAGCCGTCCCCAAACCAACTCCAGCCTCTATCCCTTGCTTTCGCATCATTGAACAATTAGTAGGGGAAACAACAGGAGACATAAACATTAGGCCAGAGACAATTATTAGGGTTTTGAATGGACGAAATGAAAACGTGGCAAGGGGCAGCAGGGTTGTAGTGCCTGGGGGATAAATCGCAAGAAAAGTATTGGCGTCTTTTGCAGCAGGCCAAGGGAGGCTGATATTAAATATGGAATTAAATTGGATGCAATTTAGACTCACTTTTCTTTACAGGGTTGCACCTGCGCAGTGTGTTGAGCTTTCGAACAGTCATTTATGGGAACGTATTCCCATGGCGCTTACATAAATATCTTTATGTATGGTCACACTGGGCAGGTGTTTGACACGTCAGCAAATAAATATCGTTTACAATCGTTTCACTTTAATCTGTTCTAACCAAAAATTTGACACATCATTAGAATCGTAGAAAATCACAGTCATTCGACACATTTCTGACACATTCAGCAGCTAAGAAAATCAAAAGTCAGTCATACTGGATTTTTGATTTGAAAAGCGTCGACAATTAATACAGCTACACCATGGGACGTGCCAAGCCAATAAAACGCCGCTTTCCGCGTCGTTCGCCGCCAATCGAAATGGAGCTGATAACTGTCGAGGAGATGGCCGAGCTTTTGCACTCCTGCTCGTTGAAATCTGCAAGGGAGGAGGCGGAAAAGAAGCGCCAGCCGTATGTGGAGGTGAACAACGACGACCACAGGTTTGGCGAATGGAAGCTGCCCGAGGGCACAAAGTCCTCTATGGAGAGGGCCAAAGAAATCGTGCGGGCGCTTGAAAAATGTCCCTACCCCAGCTACATACAGCCGCCGCGGCCGCGCTTTCGCCATAACCCGCTCAGCAATTTAAAGTTCGTTCCGTTCAGCAGCGAGAGGCGAATCTTTGACGACGTCAAGGAGGAGACTAAAGAAATTACAAGAGCAGCACAGGAGCGTGCCGCCGGCATTGAACCACTCTGCGAGGGAGCCGTAGGCTACGACCTGGAGTACTTCGAGGCCAGCATGATGATTCAGATGTACAAAATTGACCGGCCTTGGGTCCGCCGTGCCCATTACCCATTCAATCCAGTATGTTTGGCGCCCAAATTCAACGAGAACTGCATGAGTGGCAAGAATCGTCTGCCTTCGAAGCCCAGCAAGCCCAGCAAGCTGCTGCAGGGCACTCGGATGATTCGCAGCCGACGCTACGCGGCACGCAATGTGGACACTGGTCCGATCCTGGTGTCTCGCTACGAGAGCCCCGCCAACCAGGAGCACATGAACATCCAGACGCTTGAAGCTTATTGCGGCGAATACGACGAGCTTGATCAGGTATTGGAGGGGCTGCACCTGGATACCCATGACGATGATGTCGAGGACCTTCGCATGCAGTGGAAGTGCATTGAAGGCGAGTCCTCCGCACAGCACCACCATCCACCTTCCTTCGCTTCTGATGGAACTGCCCCACCGTCCGGCGACGAAGACTAACTAATCTTTGGACAGCAGCTTCCGAGCCTTTCTCACACTACCACAAACACTCAACAGCAGAGAAAACATCAAAACAAAGGAGCAGAAACCAACACACAAAAAAAACACCAAGCAGCAACCAATACCAATTCCAATGCCAATACAAACAGCGGCACACAAACACAAAAAGAGAAGAAAGAACTTGCCAGAAAATAGAGTTGTCACCAATTTAAAATTGTTAAAATGCATTTGAAATAAATTTGATGTATGCCGAATATGCGCACAAATTATTATCAACTAATCAATTATTTATATGCCAGAAGAAACAGCAATGGAGAGACTTACCTCATGCCAATCCTGGCCTCTTCGCTCTCGCTCTCGCTCTCTGCTTGACTCTCGCTTTTCTTTATTTTCCAAAAACAAAAACAAAAAACCTACAACTTTCCCTCTTTTATGTTCCATTCTGCCGCCTGCCTTCTGATTCAGATTCGGATTCTGCCTTTTGCTTTCAATCAAATTTGATTCCTTTCTTTGACGGCTTTTGACGGCTGCTGCCTATAGATTGCCATATGAAAATGCAATTGGCTTTTCCACTGATTTCATTTGCTTGGCAACAGCAGAGGCAAACACAAATTTTTTACAAAATAGTGAAACATAAAATGCGAAATACAAAAGAGGTTGGTGGGGTGCGGTGTGGTGGGGGGTGCTAGAGAATGCGCGAGTGGTGAATGTATTTGAGAGTGTTGGTTGGTTGGAGGGGCGGGGTGGGGGGGTTAAAATTGCATTTGGCCCCCAGAGCTTTGAAGTGTGGCGCCAACTGCGCTGATTAGAGTAAGCAACAACACAAAATGCCCCGTGGGGCCAGCAGCGGAATGCAACAGCACAGTGGCAGCATCTATTGCTGCCCCCATCATCCCCATCCCTATGGCTATCTGTCTCCCCCACCCGCTCACTCTCCCACTCTCTCTCTCTCTGTCTCTCTCCGTTGGCAGTTGACTGCAACTGCAACTTTGGCTTACAAATTGTTTTTTAGTTGGCAGAACTTTTAATTTGGTTATGGTGTGAAAATGTTTGTTTTCTCCATCTTTTTCACACTCTCTCTCTTTCTCTCCCTCTCTCTCTCTCTCTTTCTATCTCTCTCTCTTTCTATCTCTCTCTCTTTGCCCCATTTGCCTGGCTATTTTTTTAACCACCAGTTTGATGAAGTTTGTGGTGCAAATTAATTTGCATTTTTACTGGGGATATGTATATATGTATATAGCACTGGGTACAACTATATATTACATACGTACATATATATAAATAACTTTTGTACGACGACTTTTTCAATTAGTGAGGCAAAAATGTTTCCTTTGCCTTCTCCCACTTTTTTTGTTGTTGTTTTTTTTTGGTTTGTGTTGGAGCGTTGCGTGACCGTCAGCAATTAGATGGCAATTAATAAGGCCTCGCTTACATGTCCTCGTCAGAGATAAGGACAATACACAATGGACAATGGACAGTGGAGCAGTGGACAAAGGACAATGGGACATTAATCAAACAAATCAATTTTCATATCGGATATCGCATGGGTTGGGGCGGGGAGAGAACCCAAGCATTGGGCACTCAAGAGCACTCAACGGCGAGCCGCTCAAACCTGGCCAAATAATATTCCCTGTGCCTTGGCTTTCCCGTTCGATTTGTTGTGTGTGTTCATAAATGTAATAAAAAACCTTAAAAGCCTCACACGTCAAACGCAATTCAATTGGATGGGGCTCAGGCTCACCCTCCATTTCCACTTCCACTCCACTCCATCAGCCTCTATTTGTATCCCAGCCATAACCCAGAGACAATTATCAGGGCTATTATGGAGTAAGGATCTGGGATCTAGAGTCCTCTACACTGCACTACACACTCTCTCCCTCCCTCTCTGTCTGTCTCTGTCTCTGTCTCTCGCTCTTTCAATTCAATTTGCTTGACGTTTCAAATGGCTTTGACTTTGGCACTTTTTGTTTGAAGGGTCACATGATATGTCGTCTAGTTAGGATCAAGTTTGCCTCTCACTGTTTTTGGTTACTTTGGCAAAACTTTCGCATTGATAAGCGGGAGAGAGGCAGAAAGGCAGCAAGGCAGAGAGCGAGAGTGAGGGATAGTCAGGGCATGGAATGGATCCGTGTTACCAGTATAGCATTCCCACGCACATGCTGGCCCACGCCTCGCCCACGCCTCTCCCAGCCTCCTCAGCCACTGCGTAATGAAAACTTTTGGCGTAATGAAATAAGCCGAAAGTTTTGCCTTTCAATAATAACTGTAAAAGTAACTAGCCAAAGTTTTTGTTGCCCTGCTCAGCTCCGCTCTGCTCCGTCCTTTCCGACGCTAGCCCGCCCTGCCAATCTGCGCTAACCAACAGGCAAAAGCAGCAGGACTCTGAAAAGACGGCAGGAGAGACTGGCAAAAATTTTCCGTGAATTTCCCTCTTTTGTGCCTGTTAACGGAGCCATCAATGTGATTATGAAGTGACGACTAATGTATCTATTTGAGTGCACTGTGATATGGCTCTCATGTGAGCATCTGAGCACCGGAGTGGGTCGTCTGCATCTCCCTCCTCCCTCCTGCTCCTCCTCCTCCTCCTCGCTTTGTTTGCGCCCCCACTATGCTGAGTATGTTTGATGATTTCCAGCTAAATTAGTTCGTTGGCTTTCGTCCTGTGTTCACGAAAGGGAAAGCCCTTTCCCTTTGGCTTTGCCTTTAACCTATTTTCGGGCCCGCCATCCACTGGCTTCCCTATACATACTACTTTAAGGTATTTTTATATATAAATATATTTTTTTTTCCTTACTCTTTGCCATTTCTGCATTTTTTTCTTGGTTTCTCTTGTGCTTTTATTTGCGTTTACCTTCCTTTCCGTCGATTTTTCTGTGATTCACTTTCATTTTTCCAACGCTCCTTTGATGGGGTTTTTTTTTTCACTTATTTTTAGTAAATCAATTTTCCCTTTAATGCAGTGACGCCATGACGGCATAGTACCTATGCCTGATCACCCTATGTATATCTGGGCCGCAGCTATTCTGATTTCTTTCTTGGCACTTTCTTCTCATCTTTCTGCCTCTAACTCTTCATCGTGGCCTGAACATTTAACATTAATCTGCGTTCTGTAAATGTGTGTGTTGGCCATGATTCATTTCATTAGTGTGTACGGCAGCGAAGCGATTTGCCTGCTCGGATATCATGTACAGCTCATTGAACGGCCATTGAAAAGTGAACACAGGCCACATAATAACAATTAATCATAATTAAGCTCCAAAATGATACAAATGAGAGGAGATATGCAGACACACAGACAGACAGGCAGGCAGACAGGAGGCGGATGTAAAGCTCCTTGTAAGTCAGAAAAGCCCAAACCATATCCTCCCCCCTACCGCCCACCCGGCTAACTGACCTTTTGACTTTGGGCTTCAGTCAGAGCTATGCCCCCCCACAACGCTGGCCGCAGCGTTAATCAGGCGTTAAATTAAGGCACTCATTAGCACAAATTACAAATTGAGCTGCAGGGAAGAGGACAAAGTGCAGGGCCGGAGGCTGTGTGGGGATGGTGGTCGTTGCTAAGCCAGGTGCTCAGCATAAATCACTTAATAATCAAGTGCAGCCCATTTAATTGGCTTGCCGCTGAACCCCCGGGCGATGTCCGATGTCTGCTGTCCGCTGTCCGTTATCCACTATCCGCTCTGCGTTGTCCTCTGCCTGAGCTTTGTCCGCACAGCTGTCCATGGTCTGTGAGCAATTAATTATTTCATTATGCCGCCTGACAAAAGCTGACTGTTGCCAAACGGCCCGCGGCTGAGTTGTATTTGCCTACCGCTGGCATTTCGTTGCATTTCGTCTCATCGCTCCTGTTGGCGATTACCCTGCAACGCAGAGAAGAAAGCCCACCCTGTTACCCCATTTTGGGGTTTTAATGCAAATAACTCAGCCAAATAAAGAAGCACTCACAATAAACACTCGTCAAACCCTACCAAATGTAGATTATTAGATCTTAAGGCCAGAGATTTTAAAAGCAATCAAACATAGCCAACACAGATCCCCTCCCTTCTCATTTGGCTGAGCTCGAAATAATTTATTTTTAAAGGGTATCCAAAGTTACGGCTGGCATTGCTTGCTTGTTTTATGTCCGGTTTTCTGTTTATTTGGTGACATTTAATTTAAGTTTTGCAATTTGCATGCGAATTACAGCGACGCTGATTGAAATGACCCCCGAAAATGCGCCAACCCCACCCCCAAACATGGCCCCATTGAAATACACGTTGAAGCCAGTTCATGCGAAAATACAAATGAGAAAAAGAAAAAGAACGGCACAGAACAAAAACAAACAGCTGAAGGCAACAAAATTTGCAAAGTTTTTAATTGCCAGCCAACCGCTGTCAGTGACAACCGCAGCAGGAATAGAGGAACAGAAACGGAAGTGGAAATGGAAATGGAATTTGAATGGGAACGTAAAACGGAAGTTTGTTGCATACCCCCCTCAAGGTGCGAAATGGGGCATATTGGAATGCGATCCATGTGTGGTATCGGAGGGATAAAGGACGGTCTCCAAATTTTAAATCATGGCTTCATGCGTAGACTTTCCACCCCAGAATATTAAAATATATTTAAAATTGTAACTTTGAACTTCAGCCAAGACCAAGACCAATACCCCAATTCTGTTTGAGATTTATTATAAAATCTCAATATAATATATTATATTATATTATATTATAGCTATTTTAGCAAAGTAGTATAGTAAATCCAATCCCAGAAGATTCCCAACCAAATGGAGAGTTAGGGCGTAAGAGTTTATTCTTGCTTGCTTTGGACTTGATTTGTTTTAAATTTCAACGAAATTTTCCTAATTAACATTAACTATTGAGTCGTAATTTACCAGCTTAAATTAAGCACCAGCTCATGGACAGAAAGAGTATCAGCTTGGCGTTCTATCCGAGCAGTTTCGATACGAATTGTTGTGGTTTTGAATTTAAGGCCAGTTCAAGTAAATGCCAGTAAATGTCGGGGTTAGTTTTCTGTGAGCCCTTTAATACCATCGCCAAACCCTTCCTCCAGTCCCTTACCCTTCAAGCCACCTCTTAGTGTTGATCAAGTTCAATGTCGAGGCTGCAAATGTCCGTCAATAAGCTAAAATTACAAAATGGCCTTAAAACATCACCCGTATCCGTCTTCGTCATCCCTCCACTCCCAGCAGACTGCCTCTGCCTTTTGCTGCAGCTCCTTTAGCCGCAACTTTAACCCAACATCATCATCATCATCATCATCATCA